CGGGGCCGGGCAGGGGTGCTCGGCCTGGGAGGAGGAGGAGGAGGAGGAGAAAGGAGGGACCCCGGCTCGCCCGTGGGCTGGTGCGAGGAGGCTGTGGGATTGTATCCTGGTGGGACTGCTCCGTGCTGGGGCTGGCCAGGAGATGGCCCATGGTCATAGAATTCTGGAATGGTTTGGGTTAGAAGAGATTTTAAAGGCCGTCTGATTACCCCACACACCCTGCCATGGACAGTGACACCTTCCACTAGGTGGGTTGCTCCAAGTCCCATCCAGCCTGGCCTTGAACATTTCCAGGGATGTGGCAGCCATGGCTTCTCTGGGCAGCCGGTGCTAGGGCCTCTTCACCTTCACAGGGAAGAATTTATTCCAAACGTTCAGCTTAAAACCACCCTCAGTCAACTTAACACCATTCTCCCTTGTCCGTGTGAAACCTTGCCTTCTTTCCTTCCCAGCTGCTGCCTGATCCCTCTCCCCTTAACACCTTTTGTATCCTTCAGTACACTCACCTGCTGATTTGTTAAACCTCAGGTTTCAGTACCCTCTCCTGCCTGCAGGAATGGTACATGCTCCATGGTGACCTGGGTCATGCTGATGCTGGGTGATGCCAGGTTGGATGGGACTTTGAGCAACCTGGTCTAGTGGGAGGTGTCCCAGCCCATGAAGGAGGATTTGAACTAAATGATCTTAAATGTCCCTTTACACCCAAACCAGTCTGTGTTTGTAAGATCAAACTGGCTCCTGCTCATGCTGGGAGCTGTGCTCCATCAGGGACACCTTGCTGGTATGGTTTTGCACTTGTTGCTGTAGAAATAACAGCAAAGGAGCTGGAGCACATGGGTGACAGCACGGGAAGTGGTCCTTAGCCTGAATTACCTGGTGGTTAAGGCTGGCTTGTTTTCTGGAAGGCCTGAAGGCTGTCCATTGCGACAGCAGCATCCTTAAGGCATCAGCAAGCATGGTCAGTAATGATATTAATTGGTGTAGACTCCACTTAGGGAGTCTGTATTATTTTGCTTAACTGTTTCCATGGCTTATATACTACTGAAACATTTCTGAGTTGCTCTCTGCCATGGGGATGGCACTGAGTAAAAAAAGCTCCTGGTGATTCAACAGGAGAAGAGAAGCAGGAGTGTGCTGTCAGGGTGCTCTGCCCACAAACAAGCCTTTTGTGGATGCAGGAGTAGAGCTGCTCTGTCCCTTCATCCTGTGCTTGGAGCTGGGAGCCTGGCCATGTCCCAAAACCAGTTTGCACCTGGGAGTGAGCATCCTGCCTCTAGGAAGAGCATCCTTTCTGCCATGCAAACAAGTGAGCAGATAAAAACCCCCTCTTATCCCAAATCCAGATCCTGGCACACCAGAGGTGTTTCTTTGTACCTCTCAGTCAGGAGTTACTTGTTCAAATAACAGTTTCTTCACTGATTTATTTATTGTTTTCTGAATGTTTACTTATCACTGCCCGTGTCTCTGCCTGGATTATTATCCAGATGATTCAGGCCCTTTCTGTAAACAGTTTTCTAAGCAGTTTGTCATTCCCAGCGTGTGCCGTACCTCTGCCCCAGATAAACTGGTGCCAGCGAGGCTCTTGCAGGGGAGACACTCTGACGCCTGCAAAGACCTCGCCAGCTTTTGGCATTTGCCTCCTGTATTTTATTCCCTGAGTCGTGCAGTAAAATAAGTTGCTCGGAGCTCTTTCACCCTGTGCTTTTTCCTTTGGTGCAGTTGGCTTGCAGCAGAGTAAAAGATGAATAATTGGGATTATTTTTCTCTGGGCAATGCTTTGAATGAATGGAATTAAGGTTTGTAACCACTGTGGATCCTGGAAGCTTTTGCAAGAGATATTAAATCTTGAGTGTTTCTGCCAGTGTTTCTCCAGGCTTTCCGGTGACGCTCCGATGGGACAGCATTCATGGCACTGTTCCTCTGCTCTTACCCTGCAGTAACCTCCTTCCAGTCTCTTTTATTTTGGGAAGCATTTTTTGTTGGCAGCTAACTCTTAATAAACTGCTTTGATTTTCAAAGACCTTCATTAATCATGGAGATTAAATAAATAAGATACTTTGCAATGTCAGCATCCTTGGACATGTGCAGACAAACCAACACCAGCTCCCTGCTTCCAGCTGCTCTACATGTGCTTGGGGCGTTATTTTATTTTCTTAATAGAAACCTTAAATAAGCCAGGAGGATTCTTCCAGCTCTGTGGAGGCTCATCACCCTGGATATCACCTCCCTGGTTTGGCACATGAATTTGAGTGGCACCAGCACAGAGCTGGAGGATTTGTTATCCCACTGCATATGGTGTGTGCATGATCTGGGGATGCTCAGAACATTAAACTTGGAATCTCAGGAATTTTGCTCACCAGGATGTGCTCTGAAGGTCCAGGAGGAGCTGTCTGGTTGTTTTACTCCTGGGCACCAGCTGTGCTGGGTTTCTCTTGGCTCAGTGATTTGAGTCCCCTGGGAGGAGAGAGAGCAAGTGGCTGAGCAGAGGTGGGAGGATGAAAGGTACTTTTTCTGCTGTGCTCAGCTGAAGGTACCTTGCAGTGCTGTAAAAATGAGCCTGATTGTTCGGCAAACAAAGAAAAAAAACCACAAAAACCCCAACCCCAACCCTCCAGAAAACAAAACTGACAGCTGAAAAACTGTGCACAGCTTCTCCTGGAAAGACACAGGAAGTGACTTGAGAATAAAATCCAGCTGTGAAAACTGCCCAGGGAAGGAAAATCAGGACCTTCTGCAGGGATAGAGGAGGTTGCTCACCACATGCAGACCTGAGGCCCTTCCTAGGATCATAAAATTGTTTAGGTGGGATAAAACCCTTAAGATCAAGTCCAGCTGTTACTTATGCACTGCCAATCCCACCACTAAACCACATTCCCAAGTGCCACATCTACATCTTTTAAATACCTCCAGGGATGGTGACTCCACCACTGCCCTGGGCAGCCTGTTTCAGTGCTTGACAACCCTTCCCATGAAGAAATGTTTTCTGATATCTGACTTAAACCTCCCCTGGCACAACTTGAGCCATTTCCTCTTTTCTTATGGGGTGTTGGGTGATTTGAGCACTAGCACTGGTGGTGAGCACCCATCTCCTGATCCTGGGTAACACTGGGGACTAGGGAGGGGCAGCAATTAGTCCTGGGCTGGGAAGCTTGGCAGCAGCCCAGACAGGTTTGCAGATGCAGTAAAACTGCTGGAAAAGCTCCAGAGCTGGTTGAAAGTCATCTGCTTTGGAATATGTACTAATATAATATTAATCTAATATATAATATTAATATATTAATATATATTCCCGCAACTGGAGAAAGTAATTGCTTGAAAATGTCTGCAATGGAAGCACACTTTTTGGGGAGGAAATGTGCTAATAAATATTCATATTTTATAGATTGTCCATAAATGTTAATGTGAATAATGGAGCACGTGATGCTTTTATTAGAAGGCTTCTGGGTGTACAGTAGGCTGGCGGTGCTGAGACCCTGTTTGAAGCAGAGGATGATGCACAACCTCACTGCTGAGCTTGGAATTCAACCCTGGAGTAAAAAACTCAGGGAGTAAAAAGCAAGCTCAGAAGCTGGAGATCTTTGTGCAAGCACCAGAGTTTGCAAGGAGAACTGAAAGCAGAAAAGATTGAAAATAATAATGGATTTAACCACACTGCGACAATGCAGGTTCACTTCTGCTTTGCCCCATTTCTGCAAGAGATGCCTGCAAGGGTGACAGAAGGCAGAAGGAATATGCCGTGGGCCATGCTGATTGTGTCAAGTGTCCGTCTGTCCTGGTGGCCGCCTCCAGCCTGCTCAGTCTCCTTGGTTTTTTAGATCATGCAAAACCACATTTTAGAGGCATTCATGGGGGTTACCTCCACTGGGTTTGTTGCATGTGGGATTTTAGGCTGTCTTTGTAAGTGGGGAGGTGTTTGTGTTTACATTTGTACTTTCTGCGTGCCACAGGCCATCAGGATCATTCGTACTGTCCTGGAGAAGTACGGGACCTACGAGAGCTTCGAGGTTGCCACGGGCGGGAGGCTGCTGAGCAAGTGCCAGATCTGGTCCGTGATCCGAAAGTACATGCAGAAGGAAGGCTGTGTGGGAGAGGTAATCTGTGTCCCTGCTTTACTGCTTGTAAAACACAGCAAAATGTTTATTTCCTGATGAAAAGGACTCAGATTAAGAAATGTTTTTGTTATAAAGAGAAAACTGTTCTGCTCTGAGCAGTGGTGTCCTTTTACCTCCAGCTTTACCATACCCCAGCTTTAGGACATGAGTGCTGGTTCCCCACAGACTTCCTGTGATGTTTTCCATGTGCATCTCCCTTCTGTGCTTGAGAGAGAGGGAGCAGCTGCTGCTTGTCTGCATGGCCATACCAGGAGCCTTTTGCTGCGTGCACAAGGCATCAGTTTCTGTTGGGAAGTCATCCTTGCTGTTGGCAGTGGGAGGGCAGACTTCTCCAACAGCTGCCTTAACCTTCATGTCTAAAAGCAAAGCCAGGGGAAGATTTCCTGCCATCCTGCAGGACATGCAGGTTATGGTGCTTTGAAACCCCAGGCTTGGGTTTTAAGGCTGGGAAATACGTGGTTAAGATACAACAGTAGCCACATGGGATGGAGCCAGGGTAGTTCAACATCTCCTAACCTGGTTTCTCTGCACCCTCTGCAGCATCTAGCATGGGACATCCCACAGCTGCATTAGAGAGCTTTTTTTCCCCCTTCTGCCAGCAAGGTGTGAGCAAGACACTTCCATTATCCTGGGTGCAAGGTCTGAGAAGGATTTCTGGACTTGGCTTTGCATGGGTTGGCTTGCAGGCCTCCCTGGGGCTGTTGGCTGCAGGGCAGGGACTGTGCAGTGCTGGCTGGTGTGGGGGCTTCCTCTCCACTGCTTCTTGGCCAGACTCTTATTTCCTACCTTTGATTTTTCTCCTCTGTCTCCAAAGAGGGTTATGGATGAGCATTTCTCCAAAGCATCACCTCACCCAGTGGTACCCAGTGCACTCCATGCAGGCAAAAGCAGGAATGAGTGGTCCCCTGAGATCCCTCCTGCCCAAGAATATTCCTTTCCTCCTCAAACACCTTTGGTTTGGCCTGATGCCTCCTGAGGGTGTTCCTGGGATGTGGATTCAGCACCTTGGTCCTCCTAAGCCTTTGCTTGGGACATAACAGATTTCTGCAGATGTTTCCCTATAATTTGTCTGCCTTTGAGTGTCCAGAACCAGTCCCAATACCCAGCCAAGCAGCTGCCAGTCTTACAGACCTGCACTAACAACTTGCCAGTTGAGCTCTATCTCTACTCTCTTCTCCATTAATTGAGCCCTGGCTGGGCAGAAAGTCATTGATTTTCTTACGTGTTGGTGTACAGCTGCCTTCCTTCCAACCCTTTGTAATTGTCCCTGTGCTCAGAGCTGTGACGTGTTGGACCTTGTGGGTCCCTTCCAGCTCAGGACATTCTGTGATTCAGGGCAATGCAGGGTTCAGTCACTGTTTGCACATCGGTGTGCCTGTTTTATCTGGGACTGTTGATAAGTGCTTTCAAAACAATGAAAGCATTGGTTTGTTCCTTTCTATCCAATGGAAATTTTGCTGGATGTGTCTGGGGTAGGCAAGAGAGAAAGGTTTCACCTGCTCTCGATACAGAGATGTTGGCAGAGCTTGTCCCCTGTACAAGACCAAAACTTGTTGAAACTTCTGCATCACTGATAATCTCACACCCTATCGGGGAACTGGGCAGTTTCATGTGTGTATCTCCCTCCTTGCACCTGTATCTCTGATTCCTGACTTTCACCACCTGTGCCCTGTCTGTTCTGCTGTGCCCTTTGCTTCCCTGATACATACTAATCGCCATGGCTTGCTTGAAAGAGAAGAAACTCGTGTGGGGGTAGCATTAGCCCAGAGCAGGAGCGGCTGGTGCGTCCCTGCCCATGGGCAGTCCTGGCAGGCAGCGTGGCCAGGCTGGTGGCAGCCTCTGCAGCTGCCCTTTGTCCCCAGCACCGCTCAGCAAAGGCAGGATCCTGCTTTCCAGCACCACAGGCAGCGCGCTCCCGGGTAAGTGTTCATGCTGTAATTAAATCTGTGCCCTCAAAAGCTGCTTTGTTGGGGTCCAAGCTGTAGATCCTGAAGCTCTTCTGCTTTTGTTCTGATTTAGGACAGACATGATGCTGCCAGAGGTTTCCATATGGATTTCAGTGGGCTCACAGCTTGCAGCAGAGAAACACCTGGCCCCACTGGTAAGTGCTGCATGGCAGTCCTTGGGGTTGTGGAGTGTTATCAGCCTAAACAGTGCTAGCTGGTGTCTCTTGGGACCCCATCAGTGGCATCCCTCTACCTCTGGGCTGCTTGCTCAGTGTTGGAGGTCCTGAGCAGTTCCAGGTTACAGGGGAAAGACAGGAACCCATACCCCAGTGCCATGGGGACCACCAGATGCCTTCCCGTGGTTCCTTGGGATGAGCTCTTTCTCCATCAGTGCATTCACAAAAGCTTAACAAAACCATGGACCACAAGGATGCACTGGGGATATGCTGCTCAGGATGAGAGAGGTCACAGACCTGGAGACCTGGTGCTGCTGCTCTTTGTCTGGAGTTGCAGCCCTGGTTGTGTCTGCAAAGCTGGAGAGTCCCAAAACAAGGCAAGTGGTGCTGCTCAGCTGGATGGGTTTTTGTAGCAGGAGAAGGGCTGCAGTGGGCAGCATAAGAAGCTGTGGTCTCTGGCACTGCCCAGAGTCCCTTTCCATTGCTCCTGGATGGCTGGTTCGGCACGAGGAGTCAGAGGTGAACTGACAAGTCTCAGTGTTGGAGGGATTCCTTTTCCCACTGGTGTATTTTAAACCAGGTAAGCAGTTGCACTGTAAGTATTTTATGTTGTTTGTTTGCCCAGCGGTGGACTCTGTTAGGCTGCACTTTTGGCTTTCACAATAAAGAATAATAAATCTGACTTAAAGCAAACTAATTCAGTCTCCTCTCTTTTTTTTTAATAAGAGAAGAATTGTCATGTAGTAACACAGGTACATGTTTTCATCCTGAAAAGTGTCAGTTATTAAATAACAGATGGTTTAATAGGGGAGTTAATAGGTATGTAGGGGATTTTGATTGCTATCAAGGTTTGCCACCGCCTCTGATGCAAGAGCTCCCAGGGACCATCCTTCTCTGGTGATGCTGCAGATCTGAAGTCAGGTGGTCAGAAAGTGCTGCTGGCTGGCATGTTAACTTCTGGTGAGCAGCTCTCTTGGCTCCAGCACCTGTGATAGCCAGGTTTCTCAAAATAGCAGTTTTTTCTGTATAAAGATACTGAATAGTCCTACAAAGGCAATGCCCATCCCTGCTTTGAACTGTGGCCAGCACACATGGTTCCTCCTGTGGGGGTGGACTGGCATGGAGCCATCCTCACTGCTCATGTCTTGAAGCCTCAAATGGGAGAATCCATGGAGGAGTCCATGAAAATGGAGCCAGAGCCTTGGATCCCTCAGGAGATGTTTCTTGGGGGTACAGAGCCATTACAAAGCTGGTGCTGTTGGGTGTTCAGAGTGGGGTTGTTTTGATGGCCAGAGTTACTGCCCCATCCCATTGCCAGTGGGGATGCAGAAGGGGGACCAGGCAGGTCTCCAGAGGATGTCCATCCTGTGTGGCCACACAAGTGTGGGGAGCCCATGGGAATGAGCTGGGGGGGTGATGCTGGAGCCAGATGGGTGCTGGAGGAGGCTGCCCAGGAGCTGCCTGCTCCCCCCACGGTGCCTGCTCAGCTTTGTTGGCTGTAAAGAGATTAAAGGAGCTACTTGATCCCTGCATGAGATCATCTCTCTCCTCTCATTATCCCCCCCACCCCCAGTGGCTCTTGCTGCCTGTATTTCCTTTGGGGAGCTGCAGCACAACCCCGTGAGGGTGCAGCAGTGCCAAACGGTGCCATCCGTGGCATCTCTGGGTTTTTCTGACCATCTGCCACCGTCTCACCCTCTGCTGAGAGCCAAGACCCCGCTCATGGCCATTGCCTCCTCCTTCTTCTGCAGGTGGTGGTGCAGCTCACCGATGACCTGCTGTCCCAAGCAGTGATGATGGTGGAGGACAGCCGGCCCACGCTGGCCATCAACCTGGCCGGAGCCCGGCAGCACTGGCTGGAGGGGATGCTGCGCCACGAGATAGGTCAGCTGGGGTGGCTGTGGGTGGGGGCAGAGCTGGGGGTGCTGTGAGCATTCACTCCTGTCCCCTCTCCCCAGGCACCCACTACATCCGGGGGGTCAACAACACCCGCCAGCCCTGGCACAGCTCCGAGGGCCGCAAGCAGTACAGCCTGAAGCCCGCCAACCCCACGGAGGAAGGCTTGGCCAGCCTGCACAGCGTCCTGTTCCGCAAGCAGCCCTTCCTGTGGCGGGCAGCCCTGCTCTACTACACCATCGAGCGGGCCAGCCGCCTCTCCTTCTCTGCCCTCTTCCAGGACCTGGAGCAGTATGTGCAGGATGCCGGTGTCCGGTGGGAGTACTGTGTGCGGGCAAAGAGGGGCCAGACGGACACCTCACAGCCAGGTACCACTTGGGGGGTGTGAATTGAGCTCTGGGAAGAATTCTATTTACTTATATATATATATATGTGTATATATATTTGAGAAGAAACAGAGTGTGGTATGTTCTGCTGCTGTGTAGGTTGAGCATCACCAGTCCTGTAGAGTGTGAGTTGGCATAGGCAGCTGGAACAGGCACAGACTCATGGCTAGAACACAAAAAGTAAATTTATTTGCATTACCTCGCTATCTGGGGGATCCCCAGAGCAACACCCAACACCTGGGCAGAGGAACACAAGATCAGAGGGTCACCAGCCTGCTGTTCACAAGCTTATCAAGAGTTACACCCAGGTGCAAGGTCACTTGAGCAGTTTACAATCCTCTAGATCAGTGTTTTGCTTTTAACCCTTTCCTCCCAACACAGCCACAGCACCCGGTCCCTGCGTCCCTCCCCATTCCCAGCACCACTTTCCCTGTCCCATGGGAATGACTTGCACAAGCTCTTGGGAAAGCAGCAGGCAAAGGAGAGGAAAAATGAGCATTACTGTGGGTACATTTGGATGCCTGCAGTGATTTACCCTTTAAAAAATTACTCGGGAAGAAGTGTGAAAGTATCCCAGTAGGGTTTGTGGCTCTCGCTGCACCCAGCTGTCTCCCGAGTGCTCATCCCTTGGGACCCAGCTGTCCTGAGCCTTGGCACACTCATGGGCAGTGCCCTCATTCTGGTTATTGTGGTCAGCAAACACTCAGGCAAGTGGAGGGTGGTGGGAAGACAGGAGCCCTCTCCCAGCCCTTTTCTGCTGTTCCAGGCTGTTTCAGTAAGGACCAGGTGTACCTGGACGGGATTCTCCGCATCCTGCGCCATCGGCAGACCATCGACTTCCCACTGCTGGCTGCACTTGGAAAGGTAATAGCCAGAGTGAGGGTGGGGCAGGGGGTGGCTGATCCCACAATCTCATCCCATCCCAAAGCTCACACAGGCTCCCTCAATCTCATGGCTTCCCAAAAACCAGCCCTTGCCTGGCAGCCCTTCAGCTCTTAGTCTTTCCCTGTGCTTACTGGTCTCTGTGTGCCAGGGAAAGGCTGTGCTGGCTAGGATGCAAGCAAGGACAGGACAATCCATAATCCTCTGTGGGAGACCTTCTGGAAGAGGCTTAACCCAGCAGGTTAAGCCTTTCTGGCCCTTGGCCACAGCAGTCCTGCTGTCACCTGTCCTTGCAGTGACCGAAATTTACCAAACCCACAAATCCTTGCAAATCCCACACCCCCAGCAGCTCTCCTGCTGCCTCCCCACAAGCAGCAGGGGTGTTTTGACTGACCCAGGGGGGCTGCAAGGGGACCAGATGCCCCCCATGGCACCTGCCAGGCTTTGGGATGGAGAGAACTGATCTCATCTCCATGCTTTCTGCCAGGTCTCCTATGAAGATGTGAACCGGCTGAAGAAGTTTGGGGTCCTGGAGAAGGCCCGCATTCCCCATTTCATGCAGGATCTGGAGCGGTACATGAAGCAGCTGGATCACATTGTCACCACCAATGGCCTGAACGAGGAGGAGCTGGAGCAGCTGCTGCCTGACTGAGGGGCACCCCCTGAACCAGCACCCCAAGGGTGTAACTGGTGCTGTTTATTGGGTATTCATTGGGGCTGGAGCAGAGGGCAGAGCCCGAGGCGGGCGCTGTGCATGTACTGCTGTGTAGGGTAGCGCGGCCAAGGGCCCGTGTGGTTGTGTTGATGTGTCCCCTGCATCGTCCCTGTGTATTTTGGGGATGGCTGTGCCACTCCACGTGGCTTTGGGGAGCCAGAGGGTTCAGGGGGAGCGAGGGCAGAGTTGGGGCGATGTGCTGGTCCCTGAGTGCAGAAGGCTGTGCTGGGGGAGTTGCAATGGGGGGATTTCTGTAGGGTACCAGGAGTGCTCCCAGCACTTTGGGGGCACTTACTTGGGGCCAGCAGACAGGGCTGGGTGCTCTGGGCTGTGCCTGGCAGGGAATAAGGGCTGGAGTACACCCACAGATTGCCCCATGGATGCCTTTTCCACTCCCTACCCCTCCCCTCATGTCCCCCACCAGCAGCAGGAAGGACTTTAATCCCCCATTACCAATCTCTGCCCAGCTCTGCACCCCAACTACAGCCACCCTGCTTGGCTTTGAGGACTCAGGCTGGGGATTGGGCTTGATGTTAGGAAAAAGCGTGTAATAAAGGTGATGTAATGGAATCTACATTGCATGGGTGTGGGTAAAAGGTTGTGGACAGCATCAAAAAACAGGCTGGCACCACTGTGAACACCCACTGTGCCTCTTGCTGGCACAGGCAAAGCTGTATAGTCTGAGCTGGAAGGGGTCATGGACTGTGACAAACATACTGGACATGGACATCAGTAAATCAAAGCAGGCAAAAGTAAAAACTGCCCTGAGCTGTTCTTGCTCTCTAACACATGAGCTCTGGAGGAGTCATGGCACCCCTGGGAGCACCCTCTCAAGAAAAATCAAAACAAAAAAAACCCCAAACCAAACAAACCTCACAGCTTCTTGTCTTACATCCCACTGAGCTCCACCAAAGGTAGCACAGGCCAGTCTGTGGCTCCAGAGAGCTCAGGCTCAATCCCAAAAGCTCTGCATTTGGCTACGAGCCCTGTTCACAGCATCCCCAGCTGCCCCTCATTCCTGATCCTGCAGGGCAGCTGCAGTTTCTCCACAGGGTGCAGAAGCTGTAGCAGGCAGGGCAGCACAAACCAAGCTTGGGAAAGGAGAACACTTATCTCTGGTGATTCTGCTCCCTTCTGGCCCAGCTCTCCAAGACCATGCTGGCACTTTTCACAGCTCCCCTGCACAAACCCACTGCCAGCACGGTCAATTAAGACTCTGCTCTTTAATGTACTATTTCCTCCAACATTGCACTCCCCAACGCTGAACGTGATACAGAGCTGCTTTAAAAAGATATTTACACACATCCCAGCATCACCCCCTTGTCAGCCCAAGGAGCGAGGCCTCAGCCCGTGCTCAGACCCAACCAGAGGAAGTCTCTTGCAGCCTTTTTGGCAGCAGTGACAGAGGGCAACAGAGCTACTGCGGTGGTTTTGGATTGGTTTTGGTCGCATCCCTGATGAAATAACAGCATGGAGATGGGAGAGGGTGTCGATCTATCCCCAGCCAGGGCTAGAAGCGCTTCATCTGTCGGCGTTCCTGTCGGCGCTGCTTCTTCTCGTTCGGCTCCTGAGCAGCGGGCGCGGACTCGGCTGTGAACCAGGGCCCCAGGATGTTCACCCACAGCAGGTAGAGCGCGCGCCCCGGAGCCTGCAAGACACACGTGGCACACGCTCAGTCACTCTGGGGACAGCACTGGCAGGGGGTGCTAGGGGCATTTGGGCTGAGGGAGACAAAGCAGCTGAGTCAGAGGCATCTCAGGGCACACAGAAATCAAAGGCAGTGGCGGGCGTCCAAAATAAACGGCCTGGTTCCATTTCATGGTTGAGGAACGTATACAGTGCTCAGACTTGATACACAGAAATCCCAGCATCAGGTCTGAATTACCCAGAGGGATCCAAATGTCCAGACATTCCGCCTCTCCTTCCTTTGGAAAACACACCCACATTTCTTTGAATTTATAGAAAAAGCGATCCAGATGGTCTCCAGGGGACAGACAAAGTATAGGCTGCCCTCTGCCAGGCCAGTTAGAGAGGAATTTGTGGGTGAGGACTGACATGAGGTCAAGGACTGAACTGGGAAAACTTTCCATGCTCCCACATTTGCCTTCAGTACCTTTGTGGGATGTCCTCAAAGCAAATGTGGGATTTTTAAACTAAATGGAGATTTTTTTTCTCCTTCCTCACAAGCAGTTTTAGCTGAAGACACAGGACAAACGTTTCAGGAGCAGAAACAGTTTGGCGTGTTAAGGGGAATGAAAGCCTGTAGTATTCTATCTACCCAGAGGTACAGTGTCCAGCAGATCCCAGCCTTGGTCCATGCTGAATGTTTGCAAAAGCCAAAGCAGAAGAAACACTTTGTTACAGACACAGAAAGATTCTGTGCACCAAGACAGCTTTGATCTACCTCATGTTGCTTGTTGCCCTTTCATGGGACCAGAGGGAAAGACAAAGGCCAGCCTAGTTTTTGCATGGTTGACCCAGAAGGATCAGGACTTCCTTGCCTTGTGCAGCCTCATTTTTAAACATGGAGATTAAAAAACATATCAGAAAATAGTTCAAGCCTGAAACAGGACACTGAAACGAAATGGATAAATAATGTCCTCCATCCTGAAGACAGGGAAAGACAGCAATAATACAGAGCAAGATGGAAAACAGCAGGGGCTGGGGCTTACCAAGAGCCAGAAGTACCAGACGTAGAGCGAGAAGCAGCTCAGCACTTGGACTATAGCTGTCAGCAGGATCACATCCTTGAGGTGCCTGAGGGAAGAAAAGCAAAGCATGAAGCTTTCATTCCAACCCCTGCCAAACACAGCAGCTCCTCTGCCAGCAGTCTGCACTGCCTCAGGGGAGTGACCCTGCCCAACCCAGGGACTGTCCCTGCAGCCCAGCTTTGCCACAGTTATCTAGAAGAATCAAAGCAGTAAACAAACAACATCAAAATACTCTGATGAATTAAAGAGATGATCTCCCTCAGAAAAAAACATTGAGAAAGCTGAGGAATTGCAGGGGCTTGGAAATCAGCAACAGTACCACCCCCCACCCCCACAGCTAAAACAGATCAGCAAATCAGCACCCGCTGATTTGATACCTATAATGACATAAAGTGTAACTCCTCACGACTGGCTGTGCTGAAGGGAGCTATGAGTCCTCCTCATGCCATTTCACAGGCTGACAGACACACTTGGGGTCACTGAAGGACAAGCTGAGCTACAGCAACACACAGCTCCTCCTCCCCTCCTGCTTATCTGACTCCAGCTCTTCCATGCCAGCCTCAGGCAGAGCTGAGAGCAGCTACAGAGAGGAATAAGCTGCCCACGCCTCAACCACCGCCCTCGGGGGATCTGACACCCAGGAGAGGTAAACAGGTATTAATTTTTCAACACAAGCCTCAGGGAATGCCATGAAGGTTTTAGAAAAAGGCCAACTCTCACTCTGGTTAAATCATCATCTGCTGGAGTAAAAAACCCTTGAGTCACATCCAAGAACAGAGACAAGAAAACAAAGACTATGGCATAAACAACACTGACTCAAGACACTGCAGAATCTGCCATCAACAGCTCTAGCACAAGACACCGAGGGTTCAGTGACCTCTGGCATTAGCAGAGGCCACAGAGGGGTGAAGGCAGAGCTCCTACCAAACCCAACTCTCCCAGAGACCATGAAGATGAGCCTTCCTCAGCCCCAGAGCAACACAAAGCATCCATTTCAGTGACAGACAGCATGAGAAAAATGTCATGAAATCCACAGTGTTCCAGAAGCAGCTCCAAAGGAGCAGCATTAAACAGCTGCAGCTTGCTCAGCTAAGAGGCTGGAAACATCCACTGCTTTCTGAAGTACCTGCTAGCCTAGGGTGGCTCCCTGATCCCCAGAGAGGTACTTCAGAGGTACAGGGTAAGGATGGGAACTTCAGCTCTGAAGGTTTTATTTTTAGAGCCCTACCTCCTCTGTGTTTTGCACAGCCCATAACTCAGATAAGCATTAATTCGATTTAATGTGTCATAAACCCCACCCCAATTGCTCAGGCAGAAAAACCTCTGTGCCTCAGTAGCAAGGGAAGAACATCTGCACCCAGGACTGCAGCAGTGCTGTGGCTGTGCCTGTCACATTTTCACAGCAGGTGATGGGATCCCTGTGCTACCTCCTGTCAGTCATTTCCCCTGGCAGCACCATCACAGAGGGCACTTATCAGGCACTTTGTCTCCGTGCCTTGCACAACTCTAAGAGGCATCTCCCACAATCAGGAGCACACCCCAAACATCAAAGTTCTGTATTTTCCCTCTTTGACTGTCCCACATTGTTTCACTAAAAAGGTATTCAAAAATATTTTGCAATTCTATTCTAGAGAGCCAAACCAGTGTAAAATGTGAGCAAAACACTTGGCTGACCAGCAGGGAAATGAAGTCACTGTAGGATGAAGAGGGGGTAAAGCACCCAGCTCATAGGTGACACCCCATCTCCTCCTGGCCACCTTTGTCCCTCATCAGTCTCTTACACCAGACATCTGAGTCACTCCTGCTGCAGGCAGAAAAGGTACCACTCCACCAACCCAAGCACAAGATGAGACCTCATCCTATGCTGAGACAGCAGATTCCCCACTGCCTGCTGTTAACATCACCAGGCAAAAAACAAAACTTACATTAATAAATCTATATACATCAATATATGACTCTGACAGCCTGAGAACCTCTCATGCAACAGAGGGCTCAGCTGGAAACAAGACCCCAATGTGTTTCTTCAAAAGCCTGGCAGCAAGGGAAAGACAGAGGTAAACATGGCCAAAAACATGTGAGGAAGGAGCCAAGGACCCCAGCACCTCGCTGAGCACACACTGAAGAACCCCAGCAGAGGCTGGACCAACGGGCAGAGGCTGAATGCAGGGAAGACAAAGAGCAAAGCTTGATGTGTGCACAACTACCTGGCAGTTTCCTGTAACTAGTGTGAGGCTCACTGTTGGAAAACATGTAAATCTAGAAGGTATTTCTGCTCTACCAGCACTGCTGTCTCTTTATTGTATTTAGAAGAGCTTTGCAGGAATCACTGCTCTGTTTCCTGCAATACTGTGGCATTCCTTCACCAAGGAAAACAGTTACAGCAGTGCCAAGAACATGCAGAGACTCAGAGCTGTCTGCAGAGCGACATGAATGCGCAAGCATGGGGGACAGAAATGGCTGAGGAGGTGACAGGAACTGGCTGAAAGAGAGGCAAGATTTTTTTAGTGTGTAGAGCATTTCAAGACATGGCCAGTTTGCAACCAGGATGGCCTAACAGGCAGCATGTGCCCTTCTGCTCTGGCACACATTACCTGCTGTGCTGGTTTAAAAAGAAATACCTATCACTGTGTGCTGCAGTAGTGTTTGTTAACTGAAAGATGATTGTAAAGTACTCCTGCTGAACTCGTGATCTCTTACCTCTACAGCTCAGGCCTATGGACAGTGACTGTGCCAGGCTGACACAGCCACATGGTGGCTCCTGACTGGGGCACACCAAGCCAAGTGTTCAGGTAATAAGGACAGTTAAGGTACACTCTGAGAAAAAAATAGCTACAAACTTCCAGCTCCCTTCATGCCCATGCCAGTGGGCAAGCTGAGGAAGGAGCTGAGGTCCAGCCTTCTCCTCAGGAGACTGTCCTGGCTCTGCGTGCACGCTCAGGCAGCAGGTCCTGCTCACCTGGACTCGTGCGGGTGTGGACACTCACTCTGCCATCCCCTGCTCCATATTCAGGTCAATTCCCCCGTCGGCAAGGCTGCCATCGTCTGTGAAAGACGGCTTTGCCATGGAGTTCATGGACCGGTAGCTGGTGCCGTAGACCACCAAGCTGAAGAAGAACACGACCTGCAACAGGGAAGCCGCTGTCAGCTGCGATGGCCACGACCCCGGGGCCAGGAACGAGCCCCAGCCCAGGTGCCCCCGCCGGGGCAAAGCACGGTGCCCGGCGCTCACCCACGTCCAGGCGGAGGCGGCGGAGTAGAAGATGACCAGGTTCACTACGGCGTATATGGCCTGCGGAGAGAGCACGGCACGGCTTTCCTC